AAGCTGCACAGGAGACAGCAGTGGGTCCTGGTAGCAAGGCAGGTCAACAGTATCCTGGGCTGTATGAACAGGAACATGGCCCAGGAGACTGAGGGAAGTAACTGCCCCCCACTAATCACCACTTCTCTGGTGGTGGTAATTCTCTAGTGGTTCTCTAGATACCATCCAGTGTTGGCCTCTCACTCCACCCCAAAATATGGGACAGACTTCAATAATCTAGACCAAGTCTAGTGAAGGTCAAGCAATATGGTCAGGGTCTGGAGCACAAACTGAGGAAATGGGACTTGCTCAGTCAGGAGAAGAGAACCTAACAGCTTGAGGGACCCCAACAGCAGCCCTTACAGTGCTTCTCAGGACGTTGCCAAAAAGATGTAGCTAGGCTCCTCACACTGCTGCATAGTGGGAGTGTGGGAGAAAATGGGCACAAGCTGAAAAAAGGGAGGTTTAGACTGGTTATAAGAGGAAAAATTTTTTTCCCCATGAGGATGAGCAGGCATCATAACGGGAGCCTATGCAGACTGAGCAGATTCCTTCCCTGGAGTCATTAAAAACCTGTTAAGAAATTTTAAAAGGTAAAGTAAACCCCAAATAACATCATACCAAATCTTGAGATCGGGCAGGAGTGGCTGAGCTGAAAACCTTAAATCACATAAGTTCTCCATATGGCAGGTCATGATGTTGTCGAAACTGCGGGAGTGTACTGGGTTATTTTCATCACAAAGGGAACAATAAGTCAATAATTAATAGAGAAGTTAAATAAATGCTTTTCTTACTTCACTCCATGTCATGCAGAACTTTGGTGAAATACAATGCCTGTTAGTAAAGATGAGTCACTGTTAGAAATTACAAGTATCAAACAGTTGAGTGCTTAAACAGTTTGATAAACTATGCAAAAAATGTCACAAGAACCAGCTGTTTTGTCCATCCCTTTTCACTGAATTTCTTCCTTTTTCTGTCTCTGATCCCATTAATTTGGAGATCTGGAACTCAGTTTGGGATAGGGATGGCTAGAATGCCCTGACCTTGTAATTTTTATGCTATTAAATGGATATATCTTACCTTTGAATAATAGATTAACATGTGACCCTGTATTTTTGATGGCATAAGCATTCAACTGTTTGCTCATCAAAATGACATTGGGGTATTAGGAAAGAAGTAATTACAGACTCTCAGAAAGTAGATGCAGGATTTTCTTTTTCCTTCTTTTTCTTTTTTAAGCAACACATCTGAAAGAATGTTCTTTGGCATCTCTTTTTTCCTGAAGGCCTTTAGAGGAGTTCCCATGACATTTACAAGAAAAAGAGTCCAATAACTGAGTCACACACAGGAGAATGAAAATTGTAATTAATATTTATATAGCATATTTTATGACACTTCTCAAATAATTGACAAGAACTGGTAAAATGTATAGCATCAACCAGCAATGCTGTGGAAAAAAAAAAACCTGCCCAAGTGAACTGCAAGTCCTTACTCCTGGAGAGCTCCACACAACATTATTACGCTTTTCAAAGGGAAGATAGGATTTGGTTTTTTAAGGTTATGCTTTGCACACTCTGCTTTAAATTAGAACAGCAAGGAGTTGAGTCACCTTGGCTTTTGCTTGTGAAAATAATCAGGAATGATAGGTGAATTGGGACTAAGCCCAAATCTCAACAAAAACATATTCATATTTGGAATCAAAATGCAAAATCCCGTCTCCTGCTCTTCCTTTCTCCTTCCCCACAACTTTTTCTTTTTATTCCCTTGCTCTTGCTTTCACTGTACTTTCTGGCCTGGGAACTATTAAAATAGAACTAGAAAAGCTCTGTTCTGCTCCCAGACTAGCTGTGGTACTATATTGTTGAAATCTTCAGTTTTGAGACGTACCCCAGAGAGAATCAGTTGAAGTTGAGGTAAGCAAGTAAACTTTTTGAGTACTTGACTTTGTTACCTAACCATTAATTTGGTGCTGAAGAGGAGTCACTGGGAGATCAGGTGTTTTGTCTTTCCCTGAACAAATTTGATCTGTTTGAGACTTGTCATTACTGCATTTGGCTCATTCTTTCCGCCTTCTGTGCTAAAGGGATAACACAAAACTGTCATTAACTGAATCTTTGTTTAATATTTTCCTTCTGAGGGGCCAAAGAGTGGGTAATGTAGTTCCAGGTTTGTATGGATGAGAGGAATCTGAGGAACATACTGGTATGGATAACTTCTGTGAACTGAAATGAAATTCTGTCTCTGTTTAAATGGATACTGTCAACCAACCCTCTAACAAGAGGAGAAATTGGGTACTTGAACAGCATTCTGGATACATCCAGTAGTGCAGGATAGTGTTTGAAGTTCCAGGAGCTCCCTTTTTCCGTGTTTCAGTTTGCACAGCAGTACTCAACATCCATCGAATGGCAAGAGAATTTAGGAAAAAGGAAAGCAGAGGCTGATGTGTTTATTCATTTCCCATGTAACAGAGGTTTCCTAGCGAAAGGTTAGTCCTGTAAGAAAGGAAGTGGACAAAATCACTGATCGTCTATGGATCTTCTATGGATGATGCAGATGCAGGGAGTATATTGGAAAACTGTAGGAGAATATTATATTACTGAATTTTGGACTCTTGGCATATATTTAACTGAAAGTTACACTTTCATCTGCTTATCAAACCATAATTGTCCTTGGTGAAGTGTGTCCTTGGTAAGACTGATGGAAATTCATCTTGATGTGTTTTTGAACTCTGGGTTGAGAAGAACTATGGTCTACCAGAATTATCAGAGGAATAGGGATGTGGATAGCCTGCCAGGGTTTCAAGGAGAAGGTTAAATGTCTATACAGAGTACCTAAGCAGGGCAGACATGGTCAGATAATGCACAGGAGCAGAGAAGCAAGTGGTTGTGAAAGCAGGGACGGCAGCATATTTGTCTATGAGAGACATTGTTAGGTAGCCAAATGACTCATAGGTTTCACAGAGATTTTTCTGAATAGAAGTTGGCCTTTGTGTGTCTTGTTGAAAGGTGTCGTGTGATCTTTTAAAGGAAAGGGAATTTGCCATAAGATAAACCAGGAGAGTCCAGTTTACATTAATACAAAAGACAGCTCTGTGTGACCAAGGAGGAATTTTTCCTATTACTTCTCCTGAGAGACTACTCCATCAAATGCTTGATTCCTTGTTTTTAATTTTGAAGAGAAAAAATAGAATATGACTTCTGGGGTTTCTTTAGAAAACAGTATTTCAACTGGAAAAAAAAGAAGAATGGCACATTTTCTCTCTGCATCGATTTTTCTGTCATTTGAAGCTCTTTTGGTGTGGTGTTTTGGAAGATTCCTGTCCAACTGCATGGCTTTTAGACATCTTTTCATGTCATCTAAGTGGTACTTCTTTCATTTACCTGTTCAGAGTGTTCACAATCAGGATCTGAGTCGTCCCAAAGATCTTTGAGGTAATAGTGTTTAGGGATTTTTTGGGGATCCGTCTATAATACTGACTTTCAAATTGTTATTCCCAGATTTGAGCTGGTGAATAATAATAATAATAAAAGGTTTCCCTATGTCAGAATTGAGAGGGTGTGATGAGGCTGGGACACATTTCCATTGTCAAACTGTTTTTATTATAACCGTGTGCTGTCCGTATTGATTAGAAGAGCTTGAAACTCCTCGGGTTTGTCTCTAAGACCATTACTGTTACTTCTGCTGTGAAGTTCTTCCTGAATTATGGCATATGTGGGGTCTTTTTAAATGCAGGATTAATCTGTTTTTTAAGAAATGCTCCTGTATGCTTTAATATATTATATTTTTATTTTAAACTACTCTGTTTCTACCCAGCCCAGGTATGAATGCTGTGATTTACCCTGTTTATAGAATACTATGAAAGTAGAATGACATCAGGTCCAGACAACTGGGGAGTGGGAACAGACCAAGCTTACTGAAGAACTTTACATATTGTAAAGTTCTAGGTATGTTTGATTTTGGTTGTTGACTAGTTTTTTTATTTTGTTGGTTTTTTTTTGTTAGGGTTTTTTTTATTTTATTTTGGGTTTTGGGGGGGCTTTTCTGTGTTTGTTTAGGGTTTTTCTTGTTCGGTTTTTGGGTGTTTTTGTTTGTTTGTTTGTTTTTTTTTTTTTTAGGGAGAGAGATGTATCACTACTTACTTGAATAGATTTTATCTCTTTGGGAAGTTTTGCAGATATTGGGACTAAATTCTTCCCTATTCAGTTGTGACCATTTTTTTTTCTGTTTCACCCTTTCTTTCCCATCTTCTCACTTGTGAGTGGAAACAAATGCTGTGCTTAGTTGGCTTATTATAAACATGGAATGAAATAACTTTTAATAGAAAAATGGAATTTCTTTTTCGTTTAAAGTTATGTAACTGTTGAGAGGATCTAGCCCCTGGAAAGAGATGCATAGCCTGATTATTTTCAATGTGCATTGTGTCCATTGACTCACCAGACATGTATGGAAGGGGAAATTATAAAGTATTTTTAGATTGCCAAAGCCAGATACAAGTGAAAAAAATGACATTTAGATTTTTCAAATCCAGTTCTTTTGTTGAATAAATATTTACCCTACCTGTTTATAATGCCATGTCAAATTAAACTAGTATTTATTTTGCCTGGATGAATGCCATATCTAGCTTGAATTAACCTGAAGCAAAATGTTGACATTGCAAAAACACTGAGTTCAATAAAGCAAACAGTTTTCTGAGTACTGCAAATGCTATTTTTGCAGTTTAAGTCCAGGTTTCTTGGATAAAACAGTGAAAACATATCTCAGATCAGTTTTCCATTAATAGAAAGTTTGATATTCCTGGTTTTATTTGCATGGAATGTAAGTAATAAAATGGTAATTTCTTGCTCTTAGTGGTGGAAAAGACCTTGTAACAAACCCCAGAAGACTATTGTAGAGGGAGCCTGGTAATATTTTTATTTTTTTTAACACTGATTCTCCTTTTGCAGTGGGAGTGAATGATGTCATCCTGTCTCCTCCCACTGTGTAAACTAAGCTTGTGTCAAAGTGTTGCTGCCTCTTGTCACAGAGAGAACAGTTCACTTAAATGCAGCTGCAGTATTTTTGTGTGATACCTGTCAGAATCATTCCCAGTGCGAGGTTGGGTTTGTGACCATGATGTCAAGATTTGTCTGTCTTCTTTTCTGTGGATATATTGCACTAAACCTGGGAAATGCTCAGAAATTGCCAAGAGGCAAGTAGCTATGACAACTTTCTGGGGTTTTGTTTGTTTTTTTGTTGTGGGGCTTTGGGGTTTTTGGTGCTTGTGTTTTGCTATGGAAATTCACTTTCAACATGTCAGGAATGATTAAAAATAATGGAAGAGATAAAAGAAGGTCAGTCAAAAGGGCAAAGTCCAGGTACAAGAGAGCAACTTTAAAGCTCTTGAATAAAATAAGCTCAAAAGTTTTCATGGTATCTTGTGACTCTGGTGAGAAGTACAATGAAACAAATTTACTGTATTTAATGATTTTGTAATTATTTAGACAGCATTGTGCAGGTCTGCTGTTTAAGATTTTAAAGAAAATGTTACTTAGAAGCACCCTGTGTCGCTGGCTGAAGATTTCAATTCGGTCTTTGAAAGAACTTGTATACTTTCCCTTTATATCCATCTTTAGCAATTCAGCAGGACTTGACTGCAGTAGGTCAGATTGTATGCATTTTGAAGGAGAGAAATATGACTGATTAGAATTTCTACAAGAAGCAAAAGCCCTCCAGACCTGTGTGAATATTTGTTTAACTTTCCCTTTCTCCTGGAGTCTGGAAGTACAGTAGATTTGCAAAGCTGGCAGCGATCTCTTCTCTTCCTTGCTAACGTGACACATGTAACACTGGCATTTTACTAGTATTTTATTACTTACTGCATGAATAACAGTCCCAGCATAAAATTAAGGGAATATTTCTATCTGGATTGTAAATCACTTTGTAGTACCTTGGCATGGAAGCAGCAATTTCACAACTGTTTCTGTACTGCACGTATTGCTCTCACTTTGTGGAAGTGCTTGTCTGAGTCCACCGTGCTTTGTAATGCATTTTACATCTGCATTCTCCTGCAGCCAGTGACATTTAGATAGGAAGCTGTGATTTAGTTCCCTAGGAGAATGTTTATCAAAGAATAAGCACTTTGGGAGCTTCCTAGAAGATTCCCTTTCATAGATGGGGAACTTAAAAGTCTTTCGGGGAGTAGAGTTGATTTTTCACCCCCCATCCCTCCTCAAGAGATTTTTTTTTTTTTCCCCTGTTTTTTTTTTTCCCCTTGTGATGATGTTCTTTTGGAAGTAACTTTCTTGTAAACTCATCTTCCAGAGTCAGTGTGGTGTTTTCTGCATAATGCTAATAGTGGGGCTGTGAGTAAGGTAGATGTGCAGTTCAAGTCAAGCAGACCGTAAGACTTAAATTTTATCAAAAAAATGACCTTTTAGTAAACTACTGTAGTGGTTTTCATAAGAGAGAAAAATTAAATTGAGCAGAGTTGAATCTTGTATGTATTGCTTACATTGAGGGAGGGAACTTTTCCAGTCCTTGTCTTTTTTTAAATGGTTTCCCTGGACTTTCTGCTCACTACTGTAGAATAGTGGACTCTAAGTTTATGTTAACTGTGAAATTCAGACAAGGCTTCTAATCCACTGCAAGATTAACTGTGGCATGCATTTTTTTCTGTCCTAAAATAACATTGCAGAAGTGAAGTTCTGTTTGCCAAATGCGTAAAGCTGCAGGTGGAAAGTTCATTTCTTTTCAATGAAACAGCTTTTTTAGGATTCTTCCATTGCAGTATTAATACATCAGTCTAATTCTTTTGTTTGTAGCTGTCTCTCTGGTTGCTATTTAATAGGACTGCATAGAAAAAGTCCTATATAGAAAGAGTGTATTAGTACTTAGCTGTTATCTGGAAATGGTCAAAGGATTGTCTTCTACAACACTGTCTTGTTTGATAGGGAGTACAGACTTTTTTCATAAGCAAAGTGTACATTTGGATTTTAAAGCATTTTAAAAAGGAAGATATGTAGTGGTAGTATTCTTTTAAGAGGGCTACTCTGCATTGCTAAGCAAGCTTAAATTCCAGTGAACTGTGCTCTTTAAGTCACCAAGGATGTGACTGAGGCTTTCAGATCACTCTTGCTCTCTGGGGAACAGTGGAATCAATTTTGTAGCTTGGGGAAAAAAATCTAGCCAAACTCACCTTCTGGTGGTGCAGATACTCACGTGAACAGCTTATCAAAGTAAATCTTGCCCCTCTTACTTGAGCTTTGGAATTCTGGAGCTCAAGTCTTCTTTCCATGGGAGGTGAAACACACTGACCCCTGGTCTCACGGGCTGGGATTTCCATTCAGTGATACAAGGTGGAAGGAACATCTTGCCTCCTGCAGCTGCAGAGGAACAGAGCCAGTACACCCTTTGGATGTCAGTGACTTCCAGAGCTGTCTGAGAGATTGTGTGCAAATATGCTGTTCAGGAGGTGAATACAAATCACTCCATTTTCTCATATATTTTTATACTTTTACATCCACAAATTTGTGTTTAACTGGGGTGAAAAAGAAAATGTTATTGCTCTTCTCAAAAGAGTATTCTTGATTAAGAAATTTTTTCTTTAATTATTTTGACTTAAAAAATTAAGGCACTGTTGGAGAAGTAATTTGGAAGCATTACAATCATGACTCAAGGAGTCAACATCAGCAAAAGACCAGTTAAATTTTCCAGTGGAAACTTTGCACTGCTTCTGTGTATCCTGTATTATGATAATTTTGTCTTTCTAGAAAATAAGGCCTCTACTTGCATCTGGTCCTAGCATAGTTCCCTACGTGCAGGTGAACACCCTTTCTGTTGCTGTTCCTTGTCACATTTACTGCAGCAAATGACATGTGACGAGGCAGTTATAAGCTGTGTCATAATTCAGACTCTTTCTACATTAAGATTTTGCAGACGTAAGTACAGGCAACATAATTGGAAAGGGAAGGTTGGTGGGTATTGTGTTTTAATGTGGAGGCAATGCTTGCTTTTTTTACAATTATGTTGGTGTTTCATATGAGGGATCAGCTGCTGAGAAAATTCTGTAGTCCATGCCTGTGAATAGTGTGTGAGGGGTCACAGACGCAGCAGAGATGATGGCACAGTTAGGGTTAGTCTTTCATGCAGTATTTGAGCCACTGTCCCTTCCACTTTGTCTAGCTTCTAAAGTTTTCTATTTCATCAGAAAGAACGATTGGATATTTTTCACTTATTTTGGTCTCTTCCCTTATGCCACTATGTCAGTGCCATCCAACATATAATTCTTCAGTTCAACACTGTTGTACTTGAAATATTTTTAATGATGGGTGGAAACAGTTGCAATGCATAGGTGTAAGAGTTATAACTTGTCCTACTTTCTCTAATTCTTACAGTTCTCCAGCCCATTCTTAAAGAAAGCAGAGTTGTCTCTCTAGACAGGAATTTCATACAGACGAAAAGTTTTGTCTTTAGAGTTCTAGTAATCCTGAATCTGAGAGAGAGATGAGAAAGCAAAGCCTCAGAACCAAGAATAAACAAGTTACAGGATACAGTCCACAAGATTATACAGCCTTGTAAACCGTGTTTTACTGGCATCTTTCCAGCTGGAGCTGATACAAATGTTGAAGGCAACAGTTGTGGAACAAATTCCTAGTGTTTGGTAAAAACGCATTTCATGTTTTTGATTTTGTCACTTGACTTTCCAGCTACAACACAGATGTGAATGGAAATGTGCTTTTCCACTATACCCTTTGTTTCCAATAGCTTTGTGTATCTTCATGTTCTCTCTTGCTTTGTTAGAGCTGAAAAGAATTTGGGGTCAATCCCTCCTTATAAACTTACGGTTTTATAAAATTTTTAAAAGGAAGATTCTGAATGTTTTTCTGGTTTGTTTTGGTTTTGGGGTTTTTAATCCATGTTTCTGACCACTGTGGTTTTCCTACTATTTGAATTAGTCATCAGGTACAGTGGAATTTAGGTCCATCCTTGTTGTACTCTCCAGGACTCAGGCTTGGCCTGTTCTGCTTTCCAGGAAGGTGCCTGGAAACCTTAATTCACCTTCCTTCTGGTTGCTATCTTCTTAGGGAAAGGAGTAAAGACTTGACATTCCTTAGGGCACCATGTAGAAAAGTCTGATTTACAGACTCACGTAGGGAAAACCAGATCCAAAACTTTCTTGGATCTGCAGTTGTCAACTATGGGGGTAGGCAGGAAAAGTAATAGTTTTACTTTGAGGATTTGTTTCTCTGTTTGGTAAGTATTGAATATGTTTGATCTAATATTGTAGATAGCTACTAGCTAATATTTGTATTTAAAGTTATTATAACTGACACCCCTCAGAGAGTGAGTGCTGTATTTACAGTATAGTTCCAAACTAACTGTTGACATTTGTGAGAGGAAAGGGCTCATTTTATTCATAGCTGAATCTGCTGGCTGTGCTATGTTACGTAATACATCTTACTAACCAGAGGATAAACTCAGCAGGTGTTTTTGTTTACTGCTGTCAAGAAGTTAAAACAATGCTGAGTTGTTTCATTGTACCACAGTTACTATACTGCAACAGCCAAACCTAAAATTTTTGCGCTGCCCTCTCCCCTCCCCACATCAGCACCCCTTTTGGTAGCTGTAGGATGGCAGGGCAGAAACTGCAGGACAGGGATAAGTCTCCTGAAGCTTGAGGTTTTTTTAAACATGCAATGAAGCTGGTATATCAAAATATCACAAAAGGAGTGCTATGACATGTGGTTTATATGTTTGTTTTTCCCCATGGTTTATAAAATGTCTTTCTGGGAACTATTTTTCAAAATGCACAGGGCATTAACCTTTAAGGAACATTCTTAGGAAGGAGGGTCAGTTTGAACTAAACTATTGAGCTTCATTTTTTTTAGTGTCTGGAAAAGAGAAGTGAAAGATTAATGTGTTTTTTGTTAAATACTTTTCTTATGTTTAATGGCACATAAGTGACAAGATCTATGAGAATTTTAAAGGAATCCTTCATCTGTTGTAGTAGAGTGGCTAAGGTTTTCAGTCAGCAGATATGGATATGTCATGGCAACTTTGGCTCATTCTTCACTGAAAATGAAAACAGCCCATCAGACTGTTGCTATTATAGCAGTTCATTTAATCAAATTTATCTTATCATGCAGACAGTTGCTTCCTAGGCTTGCACAAAAACATATCAAAACCCAATATTGAGTGTCAGCCTTCCAA